TATATTTTTTTTTTAAAAAGACTATGAGCAATTTCTTTTTTTTTTTTTTTTAAAAAGGCATCATTACACAATTCAATGTCAAGGTTTTAATGATCTCCAATATATTTTTGTAAAAAATAAAGAATAATGCCTTTTTATATACTATTATATTATTGAAAACTGAAAAAAATAAAATAAATTTTTACATGAAAGAGATAAGTAAAATTCCATTTCATTTGTTTTTACTTTTTTCAAAATGTCTAAAATAAAAACACAAGTTAATCCTATCCCAGGGACATCTTCTTTCTTTTTAAAGCAGTTCCTGGAGAATTCAGATGTACCTGAGGCAGCAGAAATAACTGTTTAGGTCCATGACTGACCATGCAAAAAATTAAATTAAATTAAATTAAATTAAAGAACCTAGGAATTTCACCTGGGATTAGATTTCAAGTTTGATGCTAAAAAAATCATTCTCAAAATCTATCAGAAAGGGGATGGTGTTGTGTCTCAGTGGTAGAGTGCTTGCCAAGCATGCATGAAGCACTGGGTTTGATCCCCAGCACCACATAAAAAAACTAAATTAAAAAAATAAAGACATTGTATCCATCTACAACTAAAAATATTTTTTAAAAAATCTGTCAGACATTAGAATCAAACAATGATTGATGCATTAAAAAAATAAGAAATACCTGGGGCTGGAGTTGTGGTTCAGTGGTAAAAACACTTGCCTAGCATGTGTGAAGCACTAGGTTCGATTCTCAGCACCACATATAAATAAATGAATAAAATAAAGATGCATCAACATCTTAAAACAAAACAAAACAAACAAACAAAAAAACCTTATATCACACCACAGACCCAACAAGGAATCAGGATCTCTGAGAACAGGCCCTTCTAATGATCATCTTCAACATCTATCCCTGGCAATATTCACGTAAAGGAAGGAAAATCTGAGGTTAGTAGGCTACTACATTTATTTGTGAGGAAGATAAAGAGTTTATAGACTTAACAGCATCTGTGTTTTGCACCTACAAATCAGAATGTGGCTTTTCAGGGAGAATTAATGATCTTTCCAAAAATAACTCAAGAAAGAAGTCATTTTGAGCAGAGAAAACAGGTAATGGGAAGGCTACAAAGTCCTAAACAGGAGTCTCAGAGGCCTTAAATGTCTCAGGTAATACAGAAGTAGCCAGATATAATAGACAACAAGGAGTGGAACGGGCTTGTCCAACTGCAACACTCCACCCGGATCCAAGGGGCAGCCATTACTGAGCTTCAGGGAAACAGAGGCAATGTGTTATATCCGCTCAGATCTTCAGGTTTTCAAGAGAAACCAAAAGCCCTAACATTTAAATGGTGGCAACAAATATTAAAAATAAATAAGTAAATGCATATGTACATACTTATGTGTCGACACAATGTGGGTTCAACAAAAACATAATGAACAAAAATTATACATATTTATATATCCAACATGTTCTAAAATACATATACATTATGGAATGACTAAATCGAGCTGCTTAAAATCTGTATTAGCTCACATACTAATGGTTTTTCTTTGTGATAAGATGTCTCAAATTTATTCATCCTGTCTAAATCCATTCATCCTAACTAAAAACTGGTATTCTTTGACCAACATCTCTCCAGCCACTTTCCTCTGACAGCCCCTGATAATCATCTTACTACTCTCTACTTCTATGAGTTCAACTTTTTTGGATTCTACATGTAACTCACATCACATGATATTTGTCCTCCTGTATGTATAGGCCCAATTTTTAAAATCAGGCCTAGATTTTTCAGCATGCATGTGAAAAAAAAAAAAAAAAAAAAAAAACAGCTTAATGGGACCAAAGACCCTGCTGTAAGAACAACTAACCATCAAAGTTTCTTCTGCAAGGAGTTAAAGGCCTTAACTCTGAGCTTGTGTGTTCTTTCTCTCTTTCTTTCCTCTGTCTCTCCTGGGGTTTTTTTGGTTTCTTTTTTCAAGATCTCTGCCTGAAAAATCAAGTGTCTGTGTTTCTCACATCTTAAATTTTTATAGTCTCACAGAATATACAGGTGAATAAGTATATACCTTATTTATATATTTATAACACTACATAACTGGACCAAAGAACAGCCTGTCATTCATAAATCTAATAACAAGTTTATTCCAATTTTGGAAGTTTATCCCAGTCTACAGCTTAACATAACCTGCAGTAAGCTTGGTCACCTCAAAGGGCTGAGTCCATCTGCTGATATGTATACCATTATGGTAAGACATGTTTTCTTTATAAGAAATTATTAATAAAAATAATAAGTAAAATAAAATTAAATAATAATTTTAAGTAAAATTCAGTAATCACAACTCAACAACATATCAAATAAAAATTAAAAGAAACAATGGTTTGCATATATGCAAAATGATAATAAGCAGAATATAAATAGCACTGATTATACATGTAATTATGTGCAGGTATAGACAAGGCTGGGGTGTTATAAATAAAACAAAAAATAGATTTGAATAAATCTACAACGAGTGACTTTATTATTTCAGTATTTACTTTTTGTTTCACTTCATCTGATTATTTGTTTTTATATTTACCTACTTAACAAGAAGGAATTGATGATTCCCTATCCTAAATTTTGTTTCAAGTTGCTGTGGACTTTAGAACCTATTAGAAAACATGTGCTCATGAAGGGACTTTTGGGACCCAAGATGATTCACCAAAAGCACTTAAGTTAGTAGGGGTTTTCAATGGGGGGGATTTCCTTATTCAGGTTTCTGATTATCTCAGAAAATGGTGATTCTCTCCAACTGACAGTTGTGCTGTAGTGATCAGCTATGAAGATTCTATAGCTTTCACAGATTCTTTTGAAATACTGACACTTCCACTCTCAGATTGTTAACAAGTAAATTACTTGTCCACTGACCCAAAGAGTCTTACTCAGAGACAATATCCAAATCATGGTTTTTCTTTGCCTCTGTCTCACCTTTTTCCCCTCTAAACTCAGTGCAAAAAATAAAACATTTTTTCAAATTAAATGCTTTACCTCTAAGAGTGACAACTGTGTCTGTCATGGACAGTAAAGGACTTTCCATCTGTTGAACTAGCTATCACTGGGGCCCCTGATGGTCTCTCAAGTATCAACTTACTTTTTGCCTCTCAATCATGTTATTATATATGAACATATTTTCCATACTAACTGTTAACATTTTGATTTACATTTCATCATTTTACTGTATTCATAAAACTTTTTAAGTCCTTTGTGATAAGTAAAAATCCATTAAAAAAAAAAATAAAAGTAGAGACATCATGCAGCCCATCGCATGCTTTTTGGACTGCTTTAAGGAAAATTATTAAATTATAAATTAATTAACTGTTCTTTTTTTCCCCCAAAACAGCTCTTTGAACCATGCACTATCTTAAAAACAACAACCACCACCTTACAAAAACAAAACTCACACAGTATCCAAAGGTATTTTTCAAAAAAAAAAAAAAATTATTTCGACTTTTTCTTTCTCCTTTAGAAATTTGTAAATGTTTTGGAATTTCAAACTTAATTACTGTAAGTGCCATAAAAAAATCCACCCAGAAACTACGACAGAAAAAATTAATTCTACAAGGATAGGGAGAGGGAAGGGAAGCAGAGAGGAAAGGAGAAAATAAAACAGCTCCGAGCTGTCACATCTTCTCCCAGTTCCTTAACCCAATTAAACAAAATTTGCTTCCGTGTTCCATGTAACGAACATTCTGCCTCCATTTTACTTATTGCTACGACTTATAAAGCACTACCAAGTAGGGAGGTAGAAAAAGCATTTTTTCTGGAAAAACACAAGGGGACACAGCAATGTGGAAACTTCTTAAAGAACACAGATGTGATGTTGGGCAGGCAGTGGGCACAAGGCCATGTTCTGCAAATTTTAAAAAGTCATATTAAAAGGGAAAATGGAAAGTATACAACAAGATATAAACAATGATTATATAGGTTATGATAGGGTTTTCTGACTTTTAAATTCTATTCATCTGCATTTATAACACTATTTAATAAACCATAATTTCTTAAATAAATACATAATAAATGTTTTAGTTAATTTTAATGTTATATATATTATTGTATCATATGTAAAGAAATGTATGCATATGCATGAATGTGTGCACTCTTTTGGAAAAGCAGTTTCCTTGGTGCTTCAGACATGCATCACTTAGTAAATATATAACTGTAGATAAGTTAAATACACGTACCTCCAGGCCTTGACAATTTTCTTACACTTTGCTAATACTCCTGTCCAAAAACTGGGAAACTGTCAAGGCAACCAACACTGTAACTGTGGAGTACTTAGGAGGATTATACTCTGAGGCTGTATAATTGATTTCTCAATTTTAATCTTAAATTTTCTCTAAGGAAATTTCTAAAGGAGCCTAAATATTGCACATTATTTTTGAAAAAACTAGGGGGTATTTTTTTTTTCTTCTGGTCACAAAGTGGTCTCAGACACACAAACTTTTCCTTTCTATATTTAATGTGTTCTAGGAGTCAGTTGCAATCAGCAAATTGCCCATGTATTGGAATTAGATCTAAATTCAAGCTCAGCTCTGCTGTGTGATCTGAGGTGGATTATTTAAGCTCTCTGACACCATTTCACCTTCTGTAACTGAAGATGAGGCTTCCATAAAACCGACTTGAGATCATATTTGTAAACATTCCTATCACTGTGTCCAGGACTTCGTTTGGGCCCAATACAATAATCCATTGACTCTCAGAACTCAAATGAACCTCTTGGGACCAAGTCCCTCAGATTTGCAATCATCAAGCTGGCATTTTCTGAGCAAGAGACTCTCTAAAAGAGGCTTCTGGCCAGTTAACCTTGTTCAGTGGGCTGTGTCACCCTGGCAAGAAGCCTTGAGCTTTCAGAAACTATGGTGACAGTGCTAGCTGAGGTAGGGTAAGAGGAAAAGAAGGTAGAAAAACAACAACAGAACCCGCTGAGACAGTGACTAACAGTCTTAAGGAGAGGAGTTTCCCGGAAGGGAAGCAACATAAGTTTCTTTTTCCTGTGTTGCAAAAAGGAGGAAAACAAACCTCCAGAAGCGTATTCGGTCCGACATAACTTTTTCAAAAGAAACAAACGGTGCCTTCCGAAGACTCACCAAGAACCACTGCCTAAGACTGACTCGCTCCCTAAGTTTGAGAACTGTCAGAAAACTAGCAGTACCGCTCCCCGTCGCCCCAGGCATCCAGCGCTCTCGCGCACGATCCCACCCGTCACGAAACGGACCTTTGGCTTGCCACTGCACGACAAATCCAGAAGATCTCCTCTTACCCCTGGCCGGGGTACTCCTCCAGCGACATCAAAGTCTCCCGGGCCCTGCCTCCAACCCTGACCGCCTCCCACGTCCAAGTTTTCGTCAAGCACAGCAGTCCCCCACCCGCAACCCGCAAAGCGTTGGCGGTGCGCCGCCTGCTCTGCGGCTCAGCACTACCCAGCAAGCCCCAAGAAAAGCAAGTCCCCGGGCTTCTTGACCACCCGGAGCTAGTTAGTCTACTGCCCGCAGCACGCGCTGGCCGCCGAGCCCCAATTCCCAAGCACCGGTGACCTGCCGCCGCTGCAGCTCCCGGGTAGGTTCCGCCCCCGCCCCCCAGCGCGCGCTCCGGGGCTAAGCCGGGAGAAGCCCCACCCAGCGGGAGAGGGATCACCAGAGGCAGGAGAACCCAGATCCTGGGCATGGCTGTCGAGCAATTCGCCGAAGTGAAAGGGCCTCTCCAACTCGGAGCAGAGCGAGTCACCCGCCCTGGGAGACGTGACGGCCAGGAGAGCCGCACCTCGAGCTCTGGCTGGCGTCCAGGTGTGTGCTCGGCCAGGGCCCGCCCCGGTGCGCCGGCGAAGTTGTTCTCAAACTGTTTCCCTCTCTTCCCAGAAGCGTCTTTGAACACCTGTACTCCGTTTCTTTTGAGACAGGAGTTACGACCTAAAGAAAACCCCTAGGGTCAAGAAGAAGGGAAGTTTTGCTGGGGAACGCCCGAGGGAGGGCTCCATTGATTCAGCAACTTGGCCTGCGCGGGGCGGGGCGGGGCGAGGTGGGGGTTGGGTAGGCCTGAGAGGGGAGAGTCAGGGTTTGTTGCACAAACGGGCATTTCCCCTCCCGGGGTGTTTCCGCGGTTGTCTGGCAAGCTCAGTTCAGGTGAGGACCCTGAGAATCCGATTGCTCCTTCCTCAGCTTTCCTGGAGTTCAACCTGGGAAGGTTGGAGAAGACTTAAACCGAACCTGGAACTAAGAGTTGGTAGCTCCTGCCTGAGTGCAGGAGCCTTGGCCAATTGAAGGGAACCACCAGCAGAAGACTTGGCGTTCACTCAGCTCTTGATCTTAGGGTTGCTCATAGGAGCCTCTTAATATTGTATCAAGTGGCAGTCATCAAACGGAAAGGTAGATATTGTGCTATGGGATTCTGAAAAGGGAGGGTCTATTAGGTTGTATTTCTCAAAAGAAGAACAAAGTTAACTACTTAGGACAAATCAAAAAAAAAAAAAAAAAAAAAAAAAACCAACAGTATTTAAAATTTTCAACGACTTCCTCTCCTTTTTTTCCCATTTTTTTCTGAGGAAATTTTTTAAAAAAAAAAAAAAAAAAAAAACTTGTAATTCTTTAGTGCTCTCATTAACACAGCTTAAAGCCACTATTATTTTGGAAAAGACTATTATTTTGGAAAAGGAGATATCTCCATAGATGGTTTTGCATGATTGTTACAGAAAGTAAGTCTGTGCAGTGACATCATTAATAAGCCTGAGTCCAGAAGCAGTTAGTCAACTGCATCAGTGCAGATTTTAGTATTTGCATACTCCATGAAGCTTAGCACCTTGCTACTACTACCTGTCTTCCACCTCAGCTGGACTCATCTTTTTATGCACTCTAATCTGGAAGCATCCTTGCCTGGCCCACTCCTCATCCTTCAGGCTTCCTCTTAGTGGACATTTTCTTCTGGAAGCCTGTTCATGCCCCCAAATCTGGAAATCTGGGTTAGGTCTCACTCCTGAATGCACTCACCCTGTGTTTTGCATTTGTTGCTGCACTTGTCTCTCAGCCTGGTATTGATTCACTTGTCTCTGCTTCACTTTGGGGTGGATTGTTCATGCCATCTGAAGAGGACTCTGGCTGTGCAGGTCTTGTTCAGTCTGGGCCTATAACTGAAGCAAAGAAGTGAGTGGAGGAAGGGAGGATGGACTATGGGGACCCTCTAGGTCATCTTTGCAGCTTTTCTGAAAATATTATACTATTCTAAAAATTTCATTTGAATTGTAAAATGTCAAGAAAAGAGGGAAGGAAAGAAAAGGGAAGAGAAAAAGAGAAAGGGAGGACAACTGGCAAAATCAACATCTCCTGAGTGTGAGTGCTGAGTCAGCAACTTTCACAAATGATTTGCCCTTGAAAAAATTATAGCCAAAAAAGTTTAAGCAACACTGGCAAAGCTGGTTAGTTAATAAATAGCAGAGTGAGGGAATTGATCTTAGATGTTCTTGCTCCCAGGGCCTAGTTTTTTCTGCCACCACTCATCACCTCCCACCTCTGCATCTAATTACGCTCAAGTTCAAAGAAATGGGTAGAGGAATATATCTCATGGAAAATGATTTTAGAAAATTCTGGGTTATTTAATTAATTACTTTTTAAACTTAAATTTAACTATTTGTGTGTATTAGTTCTACAAATCAATGGGTTTCATTGTGACATTTCCATACACAGATCTAAAGAGCTTTGTATCCATCCTCCCTACAACTGTCAATTAACTTCATGATGAAGAGGAATCCATATCAAGAGGTGAAAGCTGGTGCTGTCATCAGAGTCTTGGATGGGTATATATTGTCCTGAAATTGAAACCTGTACTACCCACAGTTACTAACTCAATAAATTCCGTTTTTACCTTAGCCAAATTCTTACAACTTAAAAGGATCCTGATGTATCATCAGAGTTTATTATCAGTAATAACAAATCCTTTATTTCCAAAATCAGTTGCTCCAAATTATTATTCTGGCTTCAAACCAGTTAAAGATAACTGCCTATACAACTCTATGGAGACAGCAGGATATAGGGATATTACTTTTACCAAAGAATTTTTCTGTCACTAGAGGGCATCAGAGCCCACATCTGCCAAGTGATAAACTGAATTTTCTATCAACTAATAAAAAGCATATACTACATGCTTTTGAAATTATGTCAAAATATACCTAATGTTATGTATAAATAAAAAGAAACAATAAAAATATATTTAGCTTCTTGAAAAGGAAAAAGAGGAGAGAGAGCCTTATTTAATAAGTAATCTGTGATCCCGGTCATACAGATATTTTTATCTCCCAGAGAATATATCATTTCTTATAGGGTTAAAGGTATAATATATGCAAAACATCTATAAATATAAAACAATATAAAAATATAAAACAAAACATCTATAAATACTAGTTGCTACTTTCACATTGCTTTGCCTAATAAGATGCAAATATTTACAGGGCAAACTGCTAATTTGGGTCACAGTGCAGAAGGAAATAAAGACAAATTAAATGGCTCATAACCTCCTTTCCTGAAATGACTCCTATATGAGCATGTTCTTGTGCCAGAAGGGACTGCATAGCCCTTGGACAAGTGCCTTGATGTCCAGCTGACCAGGGCTGGGGGTCCTCTACTGAGATGTGGAGGACACTGTTAAATCTCCCAATTTCTCCCACCACAAAGATTGGTGGTGTGCTAACCAACCACTTGGCAATGACCTGGAAAATACAATGCACTAAAGGATGTTTAGACTGTAGCAACTGGGCTGCAAATAGCATTTGGGTCAGCAAGGGGGTAGAGAAAATAGCTGTTTTGCAGGCCCTGGTTTCATATTCTCAGGGTGCCCCTCCCCTACCATTTCTGCATATAGGGGTGCTCTAAAAAGCATAGATACTCCATGACTCCATACATAAGAAGAGTACCCACGCCAGGAGTTCAAAACTGGCACATTTTTCAATAACTGCTGCTCTGGGGCAGACAAAGATTGGGCCACATCTTCATTAACCCCAGGCATCCTCTTGCCATTTTTGTGGTCCACTTGTATATATTAAATATATGTTTAAGCAGTATGTATTTTTAAAATCACTTTGTTTCTTCAGTCATTTTATTTTTAAAATAAAATATTACACTATCACCATAAGTGGAAAAATCAACATTCCTTGCCAAAAATAGAAGGTACCCATAAAAATAAATAGACATCTACTGAAATAAAATATTTGCCTGCATGCCACTAAAAATTGTTTCCCAATACCATTGGCGAGGGTATTATCATTCTGGAACAGCTGACATAAGAGATGGTAATGCCTTCTCTCTGTTTCAGCTCTCCTCTCTACCCCCATATGAACACCAGAGAAAAGACTAGCAAATCTGGGCTACAGATTATTCCTAGGAGACTACACAGTAGATGATGTTAAAGCAAAAAAGATTTCAGAGCAGTAAGTGGCTTGTCTCTTGAATCCCATTTAGTGCTGCTGGCACTACCAGGACAGTTTTTCTCTATTAGAAAAGGCCAAGAGACAGCTGATAGGAGACAATGGTTAGGTAAGAGGGAAAAACCACAGTAAATCCTGCAGAGCTGGAGAGAGTAGAGTGAGAGGTCAGAGAAGAGAGAATAGAGGAGTTGAGGACTGATTGAGTACACAGAGTACTTGGTTGCTCTTGGAAGGGAGAGATTGATGATTTTTCACCCAAGGCAGCATCAGCCAATTAATAGACATCATGGTATGGCTACCCAGTCCAACTGGGAAAGGGGAGAGAGAAGATGGAGAGCTTGGTTTGGATAGAGTATTTGTGCACCTGCTCAGAGAGACTTTTTCCTTTCCCTGAAAACACCTAACATTAGCAACTTGCAAGAGAGAGACACCAGGGTTTTAAATCCTAGTTCTGTTACTCCACAATCTATGCGAGACTGTGCATGATATATAAGCCTCAGTTTTCTCACTTGGCAAACATAGGCAGGCTTTCCAATAATAATGATTTGCATGGGACTTGATTTTGCATTTTATAATTTTATTTTAGTGTTTTAATTTTCAAATTGCCCTCTTAAGACCATGTGGATCACCAACACCTTTTATAGTGACAATTTATACAGGCCCTGACCATCTTTACCAACATGAGTGCCCTCAGGCTTACCTACACTGCTTTACCTCTTTGCTAGCTAGGAAAATATCCTCTGGGCTTCTCCACAAAGAAAATCATATTTTCTAAATTTTCCAGAAAAGAAATATTTTAGTCTATTTTATGGTGCTACAGAATCCCAAAGACTGGGTAATTTATAAAGAAATTTCATTCATTCATTCATTCTTTTATTGTTACCGGGATTGAACTGAAGGGTGCTTAACCACTGAGCTACATCCCCACCTTTTTTATTTTTTGAGACAAGGTTTTGCTAAGTTGCTTAGGGCCTTGCTAAGTTGCTGAGGCTAGCCTCCTGAATTGCTGGGATTACAGGTGGGTGTCACCAGCAGAAATTTATTTCTTACACCTCTTAAAGCTGGGAAGTCCAACATCAATGGTCCTCATCTGGTAAGAACCTTCTTACTGTCATAACGTGGCAGAGGTTATTCCACAGAGTGCAGAAGCCTGCAAACTTGGGTCTCTTCTCTTTTTATTAATCCACTAATATCATCATGGGGGCTGTGCCCTCATGACCTCATCCAAACCTTATTACTTCCCAAGACCTCACTTTCAAATAACATCAAATTTGAAGCTGAGAGTTAAATTTCTAGCATACAAACTTTTGTGGGACACATTCAAACCAAAAGAAGAACAGAAAAGGAATTATTGTTCCCATGATCGTCCATTGTTGCCTTCAATTAGAATAACTAAATGCAAGGACAAGGTTTATCAGAGGTCAAGAGAGGCTTGGCTCAGAGAGCTTGGACCACATATGCTTTCTGGAGTTCTCTTAGTGCATCAAAGCAAAACAAAATTCACAAATACTGAAGGAATTGACAAAAACATGAGTGTTTCCATGTAACATATTGATGATTTTAACACTTAAAACTTCAGTACAGATC